CTTTGCAGAACGCATTAAACCTGGCAGTTGTTTAGAACTGCTTAGGAGCCAGAATGCTGGAATTAACCTCAGGAAGAATGAAGTAATGAGGAAGGAAGACAAGGAAAGATACATGATCAGTCATTGAATGTATTTCTATATTAATGAATTTTTTAATCCCATAATTTTACTATTTCTTCCCCAAATATTGCCAGCTTATAAGAGGTATGATTTAATTGTCTATTTTTCAGCTTCTCTGAAGATAACACAGCTCACAGTATTCTCGCTAAGGGCTTATACCTCCAGGGTTAGTTACCAAGATGCCAAGATACTCTTCCGGGTTTGATGTGCTCTCATTTTCTGAAATACCTGTATTTGATTTCATGGTGTCTGCCTTATATCATTCCTTAGAGCCCTTCTAAATGGCAGCTAGTGGCTACCAGAAGTGAGGAATAAAAATATCTTTTGCATGCATTTTTTTCACTGGACAAACACAAACTCCAAATAAGAAGCAGGGTAGAACAGCGCTGAGCGTTTGGAAGTGTGTGTCAGTGCAGTATTTAAGCCCTCCTAACTAAATAAAGGCAGACTGGTGAATAGAAATCCAGGAGATGGATCTCTTTTGAAAAGCAGAGTGAGAGAAAAAGTTGGGTCTCCCTAGATATAAAGGATTTGATTCTGCTCTCACCTGCACTGGTATTTTCTCACTGACACAAATCACACAGACCATCAGTGCCAGTGATTTAAAGGTGGAATGAGTCCAGATATGAACAGGTATGTTAGCTGCATATTTGTTCTTGAAGAATTAGTAAGATTCAGAAGTGCTCCAGTAAACAGTTCAAAAGGAAAATCATGGCCTGCAGGCTGCGTAACAGGTTTGTTTGAAATAAAATGCAGGCTGAGAAACTAGACCTAAAGACAAGTCTTAGTACAAGTGAATATGTCTAAATCTGATCAACTCAGGTACAGGTCAGTTCAGATGAAACACAAACTCTAGAAAGTCTGAGTTTGAAGATCCGTATTTCCTTTGCTTTTCTATCTCCAGGAAGTTTCTGTCACAGATATAATGCATGTTCTTCCTATGGAGTATTTATTAGTGTTAGGATGCCAAATTCTGTATTCTAGTTGCACAGATATTGTGCCCTAAGTAAGGCAGTCTGAATTCGTGCGCTAAGTAAGGCAGTCTGAATTCAAAGTGTTCCATTTTTCTGTAAGGGCACTACATTAACCAGCAACCTGCCTTTTCAACTAAAGCATTGCTGGGGTCTGCTGACTGCTAGCTGAACTAGGAGGAGACTTATCCCATTTCTTCATCTGGTAGACAGTTAAAGTTGCTCTTACGGTGTCTGATCAGACCCAGTGTAGTCAGGCCAGAGCTGTGCACCACAACACGGTCTCCTCCTTCCCTGTGAAATCACTATCGTTTCTGGAGTGACCAACAAAACATACAAAGCTTCCATCGGGAAACAGGTTCCCTCTTGCTTGCAATATGCCTTAAGGCACCAGCTCCTGTCTCTCCCTTGTCGGTCTCACTTTTAGCAAGCTTTAGATATTCTTTTCTATCCTTTGGCTCAGGTTGAAATGACTTCTGTTGTTTGCTACCATCTGCTCTCTGCAAATCAGAGATTTGTAACTGCAGAGTTCAACTCCAAAGCATGGCCCTGGGGCAGCATCACACTAACTGGCAAATTTTTCTTTGTCAGCCTTCCTCCAGGCCTTCAAGCTCAGCTTCTAAGAAAAATGTGGATTTGTTTTTTGCTTTTCAGGAGCTTGAGAGACTAGAAGTAGAAAGGGTGGAGATGATTCGACAGCATCTTTGCCAGTATACACAGCTGCGGCATGAGACAGACATGTTCAACCAAAGCGTAAGTTTGCTTTTCTCCTCAGCCCTTTTGGTCTTTACTGCATCTCAGCTGAGCAGAACAGTCCATATTCTAATCTGACTGGCTTTGTAACAAAAGGAAGTGAAGATGGTAAATAGACAGTTTTACTGTTTTGGGAAAGAAGTACAATCTTAAAAAAGTTAGTTTTCAAATATTTAAGTACAAGGGATGTATGCTGATATATACTAAATGGTTATGTTTGAAATAAGGTATATGTTGCAGTACAGGGGTGAAAGGCTGACTGGCCAATGCCTGTTGTAGGAACCCTGTCTTTGCTTGCTGTTATAAACAAGCCTTTTCTCTGCTTACCACTACTAGGCTTCCTATTCAGACCTGGCTTTTGTCCACCCAGCCTTGACTACATGCAGTTCTCACTCATCTGCAAATGCAATATAGGCGTGCCCATAACTGCTTAAGACTTCAGAATAACGTTCATCTCAGCTTGAAACATCTCTGACATTTTGATTCTTCTTTTGTTCGTTTTAGACAGTAGAGCTTGTGGATCAGTTGCTTCGGAAAGTGGATCCTGCCAAAGACAGAGAACTCTGGGTGAAAGAACACAAAACTGGAGATATCCGACCTGTGGACATGGAAATATAGACTGATATGTGGTTATATGTGATGGGTCCACTGAATTAACCAGGCTAAATTTTTTTTTTTTTTTTTAGTAGTCAGAAGAGCACAGAGAGAAGGTTGTTCCACTACCAGACACCTTGTAATTTATGCCTGCACGGGCTATCTCTGTTACATTTAGTCATTAAAATGGTCCTCATTGTGCTAAGCCTTAAGCACCAAACATTCCAGGGTTAAACCAGGTGTGCACTTCCCACCAGAGGTTCCCAATTGGACGCAGCTTCTAGAAGAAATCTGCTTTCTGGTACAGAGAGCTCTGTTCTTCAGTGACTTTGTGCTACAACCCTTGCATGATTCTGTTTATATGGTATGTTAGAACAACCATGCAATGAGCTTCTGGCTAGCAAGTAGGTAACTATTTGAACATGATGCAGGAAGCAAGGACGTCATGAATCCCAGGTCTGTCACTGACTGCTTACATGGCCATAGGCTGGTCAATTAACTTTTCTGGCTCCCACATCTATAATAAACATACTTCTCACATCAATGTTGTGAGGATACATTTGTTTCATATAACACAATTTCCCACCATGACGGTGAAAGGGTTTCCCAAAATAGGAAATAAGGCAAAAGGCTGCAGAGAAGGCTCATGTCCTTCCTGTTTTATACTCCCTCTCAGGGATACATAAACACGTTAGCTTCATCATTTCTGTTCTAGGTCAGTAGATAATAAGGTTGAAAGTGTTATCACCATTATTTAAGAGGAAAGACTTGGTTGTGCTTATACCTACCTCATTAGCTGTCTGAGTGCCCTCAATGGCAGGAAAAGGTTATTTAGCATGGAATAAATGAGATGTTCAAAACCTTTCCTGTTTGTGCAGGAAATTTTCCCACAGTATCTCCTTAAAGACAGTTTTCCTACCTTTTGTTTGGGATCAAGGTTTAAATTGGGCTTTGTTGGTTCCTTCAGGTGAATAATCACAGTCTTTAGATGTCCTTAATTACAAAGTCACTGCTGACTTCTTGTCTAGCTAAACTGTGGGTTTTAATCTTTTCAGAGCTTGATTTTCAAAGGTGCCATGTATCCATGATTCTAGATGACTTCAAATGCAGATACAGGTACCTTCTGCACAATCAGATTCTTAACCTCAGAGTTTTCCTTTGTTACCTTTACTATAGTAAATTCCTTTACGAAGTATTCACCACTGCTCTTGGCACATAATGTTGCGTAGTTTGGAGACTGGTTTTGCAAAGCCATTCATTTTCTTGTCCCATTGTTATTTGTTATTTATTGTTGAGTGTTACTGTTAATATATTTTCAGCATTTCAGATGGTGGCAAGATTCTCAAGATTCTTGCTTTAGATTCAGCAGAAACCTGGATTCTCACCACTGTGGCCTTTAATCAGTGTTTACTCTTTTGTCTACAGTTTCCAAACTGTATTATTTGATTTGATCCACAGCCATGCTGCACTTCATCTCATTATTAATATCCTTTTTTCCCTGGCACTGAATTGCTGCTTTTATTACACTCCTATGTTTTTATTCACAATTCTCAAAGTGCTGTGATCAGATGATTCAGCATTAATATTCTCCTTTACAAACTGAGGCACAGAGAAGTATTATATGAAGCATATTCTAAATATTGCTGCAGTGACTTTTTTTCTGGCTTGTAATTTCAAACTGAATTTCATTACATTCTGCTATTGTTCCCTCTTACGTAACCATTTATTTGCCAATATAGATTCATTAAAAAAAAAAAAAACTCTCTAAAAATCTCTAATGTTGCAAATCATTCCCTTCCTGTAAGTGTCTCCTCAGCCCGCTGCTCTGCTGTGTTGCCAACCTTTATCAGACATTGGCAGGTGCAGTGTCATGATCACTGCATGTTCAGGACTGTGTCGCTATGCCCTGGTGTTCCTGATTTTTTTGACCTGAGACCTACCATATTGCACTTGAGTTATATATTTTTGAATTTGTGACTATAATTTTATTCTCTATGTGGGAAGCATCCAGCACATTAGAACCTGAATCTCTCCTAAGCACCTGCAAAGACCTATGCAATACAAATAAAATATGATTTGTCTAAGCACCACTGAGTCTTTGAACTCCGTTAGACTTAAAAAAAAGATTCCTAGACGACTCTTCTGCTTCTCAAACAGGGAAATTTTGTACTGATCTGCCTTTTTCAGTCTTCTTTGATAATTCAGTCACTCTCTGTCCTTAATACTACAAATAAGTGTTTGGCATACTGATA